CAGGAATGGATTAATTACGAAAAACGAGGGACCACTGTAGTTCAAAAACTGCAACGTATCTCCACTCCTCCTTCAGAATGCAGGCACTGTACTTACACTGAATATTTCTGGTAATCATTGCCCTCATGGCCTCCTCTCTGACCAGCATCACAGCCTGGCTGATCAGGAAAGATATAAATCTAGGGTGGAGGGAAGGAGGGGTAGTGGCTATCCTAGGAAAGGTTGGAATATAGATTAAGGCATTATTGTGTGCTAGTGGCTTGGATATCCAGCAGGCTTATGTGACCATGTTAGACAGGGCTTTATTTATGGTGGCCTATGGCCTGTTGGCCAAAGCTGTCACTTCACGTGGTGAGGGTCTGGGTTCGATTCCCGGAAAGAGTAGAAACATTAGGTGCATTTCCTTACACTGGTTGTCCCTGTTCACCCATCAGTAAAGTGGGTACCTGGGTGTTAGTCAGCTGGTGTGGGTCACATCCTGGGACCAAATTAACCAAATTTGTCCAAAATGCTCTGCATAGCAAGCGGCTTTCTATATACAGGTCAGCCATCACTAATCCGGCATCACTGGGACCTGTAGTGTGCCAGATTAGTGCGTTTGCTAGATTACAGAGTGGTTAAGTTAGAATACACTTAATTAACCTATCAGTAGAGACTCTTTTTGCTACGTCTTCCTCATTTTCATCACTGCTTTCTCCTCCACTGGCTTGCTGCTGTGGATTTACAACCATCTGCACAATTTCTGAGTCAGTATAATGATAACATTTGAAATTATGCTAGCCAGAATAGGTGCCGGATTACTGATGGAACTGGATAACTGATTGCCGGATTAGGGATGGCCGACCTGTAGTGGCCTGTATACTTTGTACATGTACTTGTAGAAATAAAGATATTCGTCTTTCAACAAACTGGCCGTATCCCACTGAGGCAGGATGGCCCAAAAAGAAAAACAAAAGTTCCTCTTTTTAACTTAAGTAATGTATACAGGGGAAGGGGTTACTAGCCCCTTGCTCTCGGCATTTTAGTCGCCTCTTATGACATGCATGGCTTACAGAGGAAGAATTCTTTTTCAGTTTCCCATGGAGATAAGAGGAAATAAGAACAAGAACTAGTAAGAAAATAGAAGAAAACCCAGAGGGGTGTGTAGTGTGTGTGTGTGTGTGTGTGTGTGTGTGTGTGTGTATATATATATATATATATATATATTATATATATATATATATTATATATATATATATATATTATATATATATATATATATATATATATATATATATATACAGTGGACCCCCGGTTAACGATATTTTTTCACTCCAGAAGTATGTTCAGGTGCCAGTACTGACCGAATTTGTTCCCATAAGGAATATTGTGAAGTAGATTAGTCCATTTCAGACCCCCAAACATACACGTACAAATGCACTTACATAATTACACTTACATAATTGGTCGCATTCGGAGGTAATCGTTATGCGTGGGTCCACTGTATATGTATGTATGTATGTGTGTATATATATATATATATATATATATATTATATATATATATATATATAATATATATATATATATATATATATATATATATATATGTAGTAGGTTGGTAGACAGCAACCGTCCAGGGAGGTACTACTGTCCTACCAAGTGAGTGTAAAACAAAAGCCTGTAATTGTTTTACATGATGGTAGGATTGCTGGTGTCCTTTTTTTCTGTCTCATAAACATGCAAGATTTCAGGTACGTCTTGCTACTTCTACTTACACTTAGGTCACACTACACATACATGTACAAGCATATATATACACACCCATCTGGGTTTTCTTCTATTTTCTTTCTAGTTTTTGTTGTTGTTTATTTCCTCTTATCTCCATGGGGAAGTGGAACAGAATTCTTCCTCCATAAGCCATGCGTGTTGTAAGAGGCGACTAAAATGCCGGGAGCAAGTGGCTAGTAACCCCTTCTCCCGTATAAATTACTAAATTTAAAAAGAGAAACTTTCGTTTTTCTTTTTGGGCCACCCTGCCTTGGTGGGATACGGCTGGTTTGTTGAAAAAAAAAAAAAAAAAAAAAAAATATATATATATATATATTTGTTTTGTAATTGTTTTACATGATGGTAGGATTGCTGGTGTCTTTTGTCTGTCTCATAAATATGCAAGATTACAGGTAAGTCTTGCTACTTCTACTTACACTTGGGTCACACTACACATACATGTATACAAGCATATATATACACACCCCTCTGGGTTTTCTTCTATTTTCTTTCTAATTCCTGTTCTTGTTTATTTCCTCTTATCTCCATGGGGAAGTGGAACAGAATTCTTCCTCTGTAAGCCATGCGTGTCGTAAGAGGCGACTAAAATGCCGGGAGCAAGAGGCTAGTAACCCCTTCTCCTGTACATATTACTAAATTTAAAAGGAGAAACTTTAGTTTTTTCTTTTTGGCCACCCCACCTCGGTGGGATATGGCTGGTATGTTGAAAGAAAGAAAAAGATATAAATAATAGACACCAGCAATTCTTTCTTCTTTTCTTTCAACACACCGGCCATATCCCACCGAGGCGGGGTGGCCCAAAAGGAAAAACGAAAGTTTCTCCTTTTACATTTAGTAATATATACAGGAGAAGGGGTTACTAGTCCTATGCTCCTGGCATTTTAGTCGCCTCTTACAACACGCATGGCTTACGGAGGAAGAATTCTGTTCCACTTCCCCATGGAGGTAAGAGGAAATAAACAAGAACAAGAACTAGTAAGAAAATAGAAGAAAATCCAGAGGGGTGTGTATATATATGCTTGTATATGTATGTGTAGTGTGACCTAAGTGTAAGCAGAAGTAGCAAGACATACCTGAAACCTTGCATGCTCATGAGACAGAAAAAAAAAGACACCAGCAATCCTACCATCATGTAAAACAATTACAGGCTTCCGTTTTACACTCACTTGGTAGGACAGTAGTACTTTTCTGGGTGGTTGCTGTCTACCAACCTACTCCCTAGGAAATAAAGGTCTTATTATAATTATATTACTTAACATGTTGTTGGGGTGTGAGCAAGGTAACATGAAAGGATTCAGGAAAACTGGGTACCCAGACTTGAGTCCTGGAGGTGGGAAGTACAGTTCCTGCACTCTGAAGGAAGGGTGGAGGTGTTGCAGTATGGAGAGTCATCTAAACTGCGGTGTCAGTGTGCTTCTGGCAAGACAGTGATTGAATAAATGATGGTGAAAGCTTTTTCCTCTTTTTTTTTTTTTTTGGGGGGGGGGGGGGTTACCCTACCTCTGTGGGAGATGGCTGACACATTAAAAAGAAATATTAAGTTCATTGACAAATAACCTACAGTGGTAAGATAAAGATAAGATTTGTTGGGATTTTCAACCCAGGGGAGGTTTTGCCAATTAGGATAACACAAGATAGTCTGCATCATCAAGGATTATCTGTCTTGTTTCCATTGTGGTCCTTCAGGCTTGTCTCCCAAGCTGCTACCCACACCAGTTCACTAACACCACTAACACCCAGGTACCTACTTACTACTAGGTGAACAAGGACAGCAGGTGTAAGGGAACACAATCATGATCTCCACCCGTGCCAGATATTGAACCATGGACACTCAGTGTGAGAGGCGAATGCATTGCCTAACAAGCCAATTCAGTCGATAACTTTTCATTTCATTCTTTACCATTATAATTTGTTTCCTCTGGAAAATGTGAAGTATTTGTGAATTGTTTAAGCCCTGGTATTGAGACTTGAGTTCTTGAATTGGAAAATGCAATTCCTCCACTCTGAAAGATGGGTGACTTGCAATCTGAATGATGTGTGACTTGCAGTCTGATGTTTGACCTGAAGTCTGAATGATATGTGACCTGCAGTCTGAATGTGTGACCTGCACTCTGAATGATGTGTGACCTGCACTCTGAATGATGGGTGGCCTGCACTCTGAATGATGGGTGGCCTGCACTCTGAATGATGGGTGGCCTACACTCTGGATGATGGATGATGGCTTGTAATGTCTGCACACCTCTGCCAAGACAGCTGTTCGATGAATGATGGTGAATGCATTAATTTCAGCAAGAAATGATGGATGTGGGAACAAAAATTCTAATATCTGAAGGTCTTGCGTGATCCACTGTCTGCTGAGTGTCAGATACTTGTGTTGGTGGCTTGATCCACAGTCTGCTGAGTGTCAGACACATGCAGTGGTGGCTTGATCCACAGTCTGCTGAGTGTCAGACACATGTGGTGGTGGCTTGATCCACTGTCTGCTGAGTGTCAGTCACACGTGGTAGTGGTGGCTTGATCCACAGTCTGCTGGGTGTCAGACACATGTGGTGGTGGTGGCTTGATCCACTGTCTGCTGAGTGTCAGACATACATGGTGGTGGTGGCTTGATCCATGGTCTGCTGAGTGTCAGACATATGTGGTGGTGGTGGCTTGATCCACAGTCTGCTGAGTGTCAGACATATGTGGTGGTGGTGGCTTGATCCACTGTCTGCTGAGTGTCAGGCATACATGATGGTGGTGGCTTGATCCACAGTCTGCTGCATGTCAGAGATACATGGTGGTGGCTTGATCCACTGTCTGCTGAGTGTCAGACATACATGGTGGTGGTGCCGGCTTGATCCTCTGTCTGCTGAGTGTCAGGCATACGTGGTGGTGGTGGCTTGATCCACTGTCTGCTGAGTGTCAGACATACATGGTGGTGGTGGCTTGATCCACTGTCTGCTGAGTGTCAGACATACATGGTGGTGGTGGCTTGATCCTCTGTCTGCTGAGTGTCAGGCATACGTGGTGGTGGTGGCTTGATCCTCTGTCTGCTGAGTGTCAGGCATACGTGGTGGTGGTGGCTTGATCCACTGTCTGCTGTGTGTCAGACATATGTGGTGGTCATGGTGGTGGTGGTGGCAGCTTGATCCACAGTCTGCTGAGAATCAGACAGACACACTTTTTGTTTGTACTCACCTATATATAATCTATGAATTTAATAAACAAGTGGCATTTTCTTTTCTTAAGGTTAAAACTAGGCTCTTGCAGCACATGAAGCTTCACCACATGTTTGATTTTCAAGACATCATGAAAAAATTCAGCTTTTACGAACAAGTTAAGATTGTCAACTTCATAAGATCATGCGTAAGTAAATGTATTTCTTATCTTCTAGGATAATTTGTGGATTTGGAAAATTCGTCTTAAGAAGGTTCATGCAAGTCATTTTAAGCACAATATTTTCCAATGTCTTTATTAATATATTTAAGTGCAATGTTCATAATTTTGTTATTGGGTATTTAACCCCTTCAGGGTCCAAGGCCCAAATCTGAAGTGGTGCCCCAGTGTCCCAAGAATTTTCAAAAAAAAAAATTTGTTATTTTTTCTTATGAAATGGTAGAGAATCTTTTTGTGAAGGTAATAAAACAAAAAGTACGAAATTTGATGGAAAATTGACGATATTATGCTCTCGCGAATTTTGATGTGTCAGCGATATTTACGAATCGGTGATTTTGCCGACTTTGACTCCCATTTTAGGCCAATTACATTATTCCAGTCAACCAAATTCTTAGCTATTTCACTAGTATTACTTCTATTCTATCAATTGAGCACAATAAATTGCCAAGTCAACTGTTTCAACTACAAATTAAAGTGATCGGAAATTGTTAATTTGGCCAATTTAACACAAAGTTCAAAATATTCCAATTTCAAAATAGGGTCCAGAATAAACAATGTAGGTATTCCTGGAACTAAACTAACATTTCCTCTGTTCATTAGTTACGTTTTGAGGCTTTACAAATAAATTCCATTTTGATTTTCTATTCACATAATGAATTTTTATTCACACCAAAAAATAGAAGATTTACTGTTAGGCAATACTGTAATAATTGTATAAATATCATCACCATATTTGTGAATGTATATTAGACCCACCAGCTGATGTGTATTAGATGTGTGAGGTCGTTTGTTTACTCTTAAATATCGGCAAAAATTTAACATTTCTGCTACTTTGAGCTCAGTTTCAAGCCATTTCCAGTGCTAAAACAAATCAAAATCATCTCTATTTCTGTAATATGTCTTCCATTCTATCAAATGAGACCAAGAAATCGCAAATACAACTATAAAAAACATAAGAAAAAGCACTGCAAAGTCGCTGTTTTAATCGAAAAATCATGATTTCAGTTTTTTTTCTCTCATTATACACAGTGTGCTGCAGGATCTGTTTTATGTGGTGCACACATACCACATAGATGTATTCTCTCATATCTAGGCCCAAATGTACCACTCACAGTTTATCAGAGTGAGCTGAGCTCATGACGTAGATCTACAGTTTGGACCCTGAACGTAAAGCCGTAGATCTACGGGACGGACCTTGAAAGGGTTAAGGTGCTGCATTTTCAAATTTTGTTTAATTGTAAATGTTTATAGGAAAATAATTCCCCTTTCTGTTGTTAGTAAGATAAATATTAAGCAAATAAGAACTAAAGGGCACAATACCTTGACTGGAACAATACACAGATAACCTGTATATAGGAGAAAGAAGCTTACCATGACATTTTGGTTCAACTTGGACCATTTACAAAGTAAAAAAATTAACTACTGTAGCCCCTATATAAGCCTATCACTAAACATATTTTTTTTTTCATTTACACATCGGCCATTTCCCACCAAGGCTGGGTGGCTGAAAAAGAAAAAGTTTCACCATCATTCACTCCATCACTGTCTTGCCAGAGGCACACTCACAGAATTAAAGTTTACTTAAATTCTTCAGTAAACTTTAATTCTGGAAAGCAAAATTTAGTTATAAATTACAAATGCTGTACTGTAATGCAGGTTAGCTCCATTTATATTCACTGACCCATCCTGATAATTTCACAATAAATTGAAAATAAATGATGGAGAAACCACAATTTGAACAAGACAACACCAGTATCACTATGCCATGTCTCAGAGGTTCTTCAGGTGGAGTGAAGAGGCCTTGTCCTATGGTACAGTCATGCTGGTGGTGTTTCTTCCTTAAATTGTGGCTTTCCATTAGTAAAGCATGTTATTTACAGTTATATTTAATAAGTAGTACCTTCTATATCTAATTGCCTTTATTTTTTTAGTACTTATGGTTAGAGATGGGATTATTATTATTATTATAATCAAGGGGGAAGCGCTAAACCCGGAGGATTATACAGCGCCTGGGGGGGGCATGTGGAAGGCATTCAGGCTTAATTCGGGGAACTGGAGCACAGATCCAATTCCCAAAATCAAGAGCCCCTCACCAACATCAAGGAACCTTCCTTGAGGGGTTAGAGATGGGAGAATGTCAAAATTTTTACCGATGCCGGTGCTGACATTCAGTTTTAAGCTAATGCCAATACCATCAAAATAAGCCTATAACCACCAACACTGATACTGATACCATCAAAATTACCCTGTACCCACTTATACCAATACCTATACTCAGTTTTAGGCTGATGCAAATACTTTTTTTTTTTTAACACCTCAGCCATTTCCCACTGAGGTAGAATAACCCAAAAAGAAAGAAAACCCCAAAAAGAAAGAAAAAACTTTCATCATTCACCACTATTGCCATCACTCATACAGAATCACTGTCTTTGCAGAGGTGCTCAGATACAACTTAGACACCCTTCAAACTGCTAATAACCCAAACCCCTCCTTTAAAGTGCAGGCATTGTACTTCCCATTCCAGGACTCAAGTCCAGCTAACTGGTTTCTCTGAATCCCTTCACAAAATATTACCCTGCTAACACTGCAACAGCTCATCAGGTCCCAAAAACCATTTGTCTCCATTCACTCCTATCAAACATGCTCACATACGCTTGCTGGAAGTCCAAGCCCCTCGCCCACAAAACTTCTTTTACCCCCTCCCTCCAATCTTTTTGGAGATGACCCCTACCCCGCCTTCCTTCCCCTACAGATTTATACGCTCTCCAAGTCACTCTATGTACTTTGTTTCAATCTCTCTAAATGACCAAACCACCTCAACAGTAACTCCACACCTCCTAATTTCCACACTATAAATTCTCTGCCTCCAGCTGCCTCCTCGCTGCAACATTTGCAACCCATGCTTCACACCCATAAAAGAGTGTTGGTACTACTATACTCTCATACATTCCCTTCTTTGCCTTCATGGATAACGTTTTTTGTCTCCACAGATAATTTAATGCACCACTCACCTTTTTTCCTTCATCAGTTCTATGGTTAACCTCATCCTTCATGAACCCATCTGCTGACAAGGCAACTCCCAAATATCTGAAAACATTCACTTCTTCCATACTCCCTCCCTCAATGTGATATCCAGTTTTTCTTTATCTAAATCATTTGATACCCCTCATCACCTTACACTTATCTATGTTCACTTTCAACTTTCTATCTTTATACACCTTTACATATCAATACCCATACTGTACTCAAATTTAGGCCAATAGGAAAACCTATACTCAAATTTAGGCTGATGATACCTACACTGAATTTTAAGTTGATACTGATGTCTGTTGTACACTCAATTTAAGGTTGATACCAATATTTATCCTAGGTAGTAGGTTGGTAGACAACAACCACCCAGGGAGGTACTACCGTCCTGCCAAGTGAGTGTAAAACGGAAGCCTGTAATTGTTTTACATGATGGTAGGATTGCTGGTGTCTTTTTTCTGTCTCATAACCATGCAAGATTTCAGGTATGTCTTGCTACTTCTACTTACACTTAGGTCACACTACACATACATGTACAAACATATATATACACACCCATCTGGGTTTTCTTCTATTTTCTTTCTAGTTCTTGTTCTTGTTTATTTCCTCTTAACTCCATAGGGAAGTGGAGCAGAATTCTTCCTCTGTAAGCCATGCGTGTTGTAAGAGGCGACTAAAATGCCGGGAGCAAGGGGCTAGTAACCTCTTGTCCTGTATATATTACTAAATGTAAAAGGAGAAACTTTTCTTTTTCCTTTTGGGCCACCCTGCCTCGGTGGGATACGGCCAGTGTGTTGAAAGAAAGAATAATTACCTCACAATACAAATACTCTTACATTGTGTACAAGTTAGTACAGAATAAACAAACAGCAACACTCCCATTCTCATGCAACACACCATTTTTAAAAGTGAATGAAGATATTATTATTATCATAGTAAAAAAGCTCTAAACCCACAAGGGTCGTGAATTGCTATATATAGAGTGAAGGCATATGAAAGGAATATTTTTCTACAGTTATCCACCAGTATTTGACTAGAGAAAACGTAATTCTTTCGACACTACTTACACAGCAGCTTCATAAATATATCTCATATTTAGGTCAATTTTTATTCTATGAGTGTATGTATCATGTTTATATGCAATGTAACGTGTTTCTTATATAATTTTGAGGAAAATATCATAGATGGACTAATGAAAATGTCTATATTAATGTAAAATGAGACATTTAATGTGCCTAAGAGTGATTATTATTACGTAATATTGGCGTCATGAGTAGAGAGACTCTTAGCGATTTTAATGTGTACCTGCACACCAGCACAGTGTGTAAGTATATTTAGGTACAGGTACACATAATTATAATTATCAGAGTACATACAAAATACGAAGTAACTTTAAAACACTTGAAATTTTGAAAAGTTTCCAGACATAATAGATGTGGTCACGAAGAATGTAAACAAACCGGGTGGGGCGCCCCTTTTAAAAGGGCCCGCGGCTGTATAGAAAAATTTTGGTCATAAATTTGCCCATCGCCTTTACTAGCGGATGCTGTAAGGTAAAAAGCCAAAAAGCGGGGCCCCGTTTTCAGAAATTTTTGTGTACGATGTTTTTTTTTTGGGTTTACAATAGATTATTTTAGGATTTTATTACTTTTTTTTTAAAATTTTTTTTCCCATTTTAATTTTTTTTAACAGTTACTGGGAAAATTTCATTCCTATTAGTCCATTTATATCGGGGGTTTCTGATTAAAATTTCGGGCATTTTAAACCCCCTTTGACTTTTTTTTGATGTTTTATATATGCCCTTTTTAGCCACCGTTTTTTGACTTACCCTTATATATAATTCTGCGGCTTCAAATAAAGCAGGAAAAAAGCTATTGGGCCCCAAACATTTTGGAGAATGGGTCTGTGTGGCCCAGTGTTGAAAGATTAAAAAAAAATCCTGC